TATTATTATTATTATTATTATTATTATTATTATTATTATTATTACATACACTCAGGCTAACCCTTTGAACTGTTCCTTTTTCTCCTTGTTATTCCCAATCTTAACATTTATCAGTGTCTTTTGTCATTGCCATTGACAAAATTGGATCCTTTCATATTAATGGTTAAAGCCAGATCTGCTTTTTGATGTCAGCTGGCTCATAAAGTGGTCTGAGCAGACCTCTTTTTGCCCGGAGGCTACTTCTTGCTTTCACTATCGTAGCCTGCTGTGGCTCTCTTGCCTCTTCTCTACTTCCCTGGCTTACTTGATGAATTTATCTTTAAACATACATTTTCTTGGGTCAAAAATCTTTGACTTAGGTAAGTTATTTCCATACATAACAATATTATAACCTGCACTGTGTTATTGCCTGAATTGTTTTGCTATTATTATTTACTTTTAGTGGTACAATCAGTGTCCCCACTGCTTACGCTTGAAATTGAAGTCACTTTTGCTGCATTTTCCCATAAATCCTCACCAGTATTAATCCCTGCTAACTGAGCCTCTGTATTACCTCTCATCTCTTTCATGTCCCCTTCTCATTATTGTCCAACGTTTTCTCTTCTTCAAACATTCCAAAGGACAAAGTAATAGATTCCTAGGTATCATCTGCTTTGAAAACCCATTGAGATACAGCCCTAAGACTAACAATTTTGCAAGATTCAACTAAAAATGTGTTTTTCCAGGTGCATTCCAAATAAAGCCCAAGATTTTTATAGTATTGAGACCCTCTATGAAGTTACACAAAGTCTCATTTTTCAATGTTCTTTTCCTCTGTTCTCTACATTATACATGTCATCCAAGCAGCATTTCTATAAGATCTGTCCATCTTTGTTGTTAAGACTCAACATGTTTATTAACTCAGGGAGCTCCTTTCCATTCACCACCTTCTTCTCAAATGGAAGAAAACACACATATAACAGAGTAACAGAGGCTAGTAGTTGGGGAGGGACGGGAACTTAACTAGGGTGAATATGACCACAGTACATGATATATTTGAAAGAAATTGCTATGAAGTCCAATGCTATATATGAATATATATAGCAATAAAATTTAGTACACTAATGCAAGCTTTTAAAGAATAAGGATTAATGACTGCATGGTACTACATCTGTCTATTGTAATTCTTCATGTGTTTAAATGATTATTGTGGCTTTCTTTTCATAATCTACTTCAGACTGACTGTCTTCTATGTTCTAATGAAGCTCAAAGAACTTCAATAATACATGGATTGAATGATGGATAGAGATTTATTAGAACACTATTCTTGTGTAATGCCTCAAAATGAAAATATTATCTTCACATCCAACTACATAATCTCTATGGCCTACCACTCACTTCCACCTCTGTCATTTGTTTTTAGTAGTTCTTCTTGTAGAATCTGACCTGGCACTTCCCAAACGATATCTTATTCTTCTAGCAATACTCAGCTTAAAAACAAACATGTGGAAATGGTAAGATATTATTCCACCAACTAAACCTTGGATGGAGACACTATTATGTTCATGTATTGTTTTGGTGCTTGTGTAAAATTGTGGAAGCTCTGTAGAAGATCATGTTTCCTATCCCAATCCTCTAAGCACATTAGTAAGCAGACATTATACATGAAAAATAACAAAAACAGACTTCTTGAACTAACATTATTCTCATACAAAGGAAGCAGAAGAATTTAACTTATTATATCAATCAATCAAATAGATTGAAAAAGTGCAGTTTTTGAAAATAATATTTCCTTTTGCTTTCATGAGAAATAGTTCCTCTTTTATTAAAGTGAACAATCAAAAGCTGATTATGGTGTTACAATTTTGAGTTGGGCTATAAAACAGTAATGCGATGGTCTATATTATTAGAGATACATTCTTCATTAATGGAAACTGGGGTAAGGATTTTCCTTGATACTTCCTATGATGCTGACATCCTGAATTATATCTCATATGCATCTGTTTTATGCCCATGACTTTGATTTCACAAAGAAATTAATACCCAATCCTCAGTGCTGTAAAAGGAAGGAATATAACAGTAAAGAGAACTGAATTTTTGATAGAGGTAGTGATTAAGCCTCCTACCTTAAAATTTTTTCTAGCTAAATAATAAAATTGACACTTGCTATGACCTAGCACATTGTATAGTTTATATTCTATACCTACTTATACAGGATCATGAGACTTCAATATAAACATGAGTTTTTGAAAAGGCAGCACCCCTCTAGTTGTGGTTTATTTACTACTATTGGCCACATCTTTGTACTCCATTGCTTTAGCCAGAATCCAACATCACAAAACCTACAGACCAAAAGTTAGGATGAGATGATCACATTGCCTCTAAAAGAACCCAAATGGTTATTCAATGACAATCTCCTGAAATGTATTCCTTTTAGTTTTACTCATGACAAAATCAAAATCATAACCATTTCAACAATATACCTAATTGAAAAGAGGAAGGGTCAATATATATCTAAAAAATGAGTTGCATAAGCCCACTAATCAGAGGTGCCCGATAAACCCAAATTTTCTGAAAGCAAATCATGGGATACCTTAACAGGGTGGTAGAAGGAAAATGAGAAAAGTCAGGGTACATACATTTCCGTGATAGTCTCAGGTAGATTTGTGGGGATCTCAGTGAGACCTTTCCCTCGGCAGTCTACAATATTGTTGCTACAGGTACAGGCAGCAGGGCAATGCAGAACACTGCAGGAGGGGGCCATGAATGACTGGTGACCTAAAAGTGAAAAAAGAATCAATATCAGTTAGATTTTACTCTTGAATTTCAAACAGAGAGACTTACAGTCTGTGCTCAACTAAGAAAGCAGACAACAGTGATCAAGTTCTCTCACACTTTTTCATTAAACAAGCATCCTTAATATTTCTAGAATATGTATTGGAAAACATGCATTTATATCTTGAGAATTAAAAAACAAGTCATAAAATTTGTAACATTTTTAGAACTTGGAAAATATTAGTAAACTAAATTCAAATGCAAGACCAGAATTCTGTTCAAAAATAACAGGAGTTCTAACAAAAAAGCAAATAGTTCAGAATGATCTATATCATTCCTAACAAGTTTAAGAGGAGATCGGTTTTAATCACACTGATGTAGTATAATTTACTTTGCTTATGCAAAAAAAGAAAAGAAAAGACTTCCATCTTGGTTGACCTAACTGTTCGTCAAATTAAGTTACCCTGTGCCAACAAATGGAGGCAAAAACTAGATAATAGAAGTTTGATGTCTGGATAGATTCAAAATTTCTGCTTTCTTTAAAGTTATTATAGTAATTTGTGGGGGATTATTCTGTAATTGTTCATCCAAATGATTCTTTTCAGGGATTCATCTGATAGAAACTTTTGCTATGAGCAGTCACCTGCAGATGTATAATTTCACTACTCAGTATTTGAAAACAAAAGTATTCTGAAATCAGATTTCCCAGTCTGAATAATGAAAGCCAGAACATCATCAGCCAGGCTGCAATGAACAGGCGCCTGCTTAGCCATGGCTTCTGGAGAAAATCAGGACAGCTCTCTGGGATTTTCTGGAAAGGGACCCTCCCAGTGGGAGAGAAGTGCCAGGAAGAGACTGTGGGCTAGCTGCTCAACCCATCCCTTCATACAAGGTCTCAAACTACAACAATATTCTAAGTGTAAAAAATGCAGGGAGGGAGAAAACACACACAGAAAAAAAATATACACTTGCCTTCTTCCTCATCTAGAAGGCAGCAAGGAAAAAGCAAAAAGGAGAAAAATGATGGTTAGTAGAGAATTGTTAGTCGCTTGTTGAGATTTTTAAAAAGCAATCAAACATACTGAGAATATTTCGTGACATTATAAGAGAACTGAGGGTAGAACACAAAGTGTGGAAAATACATTTAATTGCCTGAAAGACATCTTTAAATGTCCAAGGATGAACTAGTAATTTCCTTCCAGTCATTTAAAAATGTGAACTGCTTTTGACTCATGGTGGTCCTCACTTGGTAAGCAGGGGTGAATAGACTAGGACCTCCACAACTAGAACAAGTGGCTGTACAAATCCCTTATATAAGATGGGATTGTATTTAGATTGCATTTGGATATAGCCTACACAAATCAACCCTATAATATCATTCTTTTTTGAGTTACTTACAACAATGAACATAATATACATGATATGCAAATATTTGTTAGAATAGTGCATTGCTTACAGACTAAACACAAGAAAATAATGGTAAAGTTTCAGTAATGAACATTTGTTTTAGAAATGTTTGATCCTTGGTTGGTTGAATCCATATCTGTGTAATCTATAAATATGAAAAGTCAATTATATAGTAATTTTAAATTTTGTGTTTGGCCTGGTGATGTGGCACAGTGGATGAGTTCTTGCCAAGGTATACGAGGGCCTGGGTTTGATCCCCAGGACAATCAAAAACTTATGTGTTTCATTATGTTTTAAACAAACTGTTCTCAAGCATACCTAGCCATAAACTTATAAAATATTTAGTCATATACATGTATATGATATATATTTGTGTGTATATGTACATATAAATATGTCTATACAGACTATATAGTTTGAGGTCCTTGAATTTGAGCATACATAATTGAAAAAAGTTTATTATTTTATATTTACTTTAGTCTTCAACATAGAGACTAATTTATATTGTTCATATAGTTGTTTTAAGAGAGGTAAAATGAGGCAGCTGTATTTAAAATGTTTACGTTACTGTTTAGACATTCAAAACACAGCAAATGTTAGCTATTTAATAAATTTGGTTTGCAGACATTTTGGTACTTAAAGCAATTACATATTTATTTTAGTAAAACTGAATCATCAGATGTATATATTTGATGGGAGATGTTCTCTCAGCAACTTATGTTTATGAAGAAATACCCCATTGTTTCATAATTACAGTTGAGTTATATTGAATTTTAGGGTGAGTATCCAGGATTACTAGTCATTTTTCACTAGTTAATATAAAAGTAGCTAATAATCATTAATAAAAGAGAAAATTACATTTTGCAAGTACTGTTACAATCCTATATTACTGTGGGATGTGAATGGAAAGATTTTGTGTACAAGTAATCAATAATTGCCCTAGGTACAATATCCTAGAATCTAGTACTCTTCTCCATGCAAAATAGAGTCTCCATGGTGATAAGTGCATGATAGCTCCCTGGCGAGAAACTTTGAACCTTTGAAATTTGAATTCCTCACATTTGTTACACCATAGTGTAAAAAAAAAAAAACAAAAAAACAACCATAACCTCACTGATCTTACCACTGCAGACAAATTCTCGTTTTTGAACCTCAGCTACATTATGTCCCCTCAGGTGGGATGGGCCCATACACTGAGTGTACAAGCCCACCCGAGGCCTTTGGCGAAGCCAGTCCGAGAGCCAGGCCAGGTGACAGTCGCAGTACAGGTTGTTTGAATGGAGTCGACTAAATCAGAAGGAGGAGTTCAAAGCAAGAAAATAGGAGACAGTTAATTCAAACATTGTTAGTAAAAAATCTATTTATCTATCTAATCTATCTATCTATCTATCTATCTATCTATCTATCTATCTATCTATCATATCCCTCTATATATAAAACAACACAAACACAGAGACATCTTAGGGAATTCCTATACAATTACTTTTTAGATAAGTAAACTGGTTCACAAATATGAGTCAATTCTCTTCTTTTACTAAGCTAGATAAAAAGACAAAAGAAGTAGGAACATAAAATTATTTTGCCTATATTCATTCAAAAGGCTAAAGAGAAAAGGGCAAATTATTCTGCATTCCTCACATAACATGGGCCAATGGAGATGGTCCAGGGCTGTGGACATGAAGAGGGCGAGTGTTTGGAACAAACGGTATGAATTACAGGTCAAATATCAGCAAAGTCCTACTATTATTACTTTCTATGGAAACAGTTTACAAAGTCATTTTAGCACAGCACTATTTTGTTGGGTAAGACACAAAAATAATTCAGTATAAGACAGTCTGTTTTTTAGCACACTTCTAATTTTTCTTGTCCCTCATTCCTTCGTACACCACCCCACCCCACCCCACTCCACCCCACCCCACCCAGTTTTCCAAAAAACAGATTAGCTGAATTTGGCTCTTAGGATTTAGCTTCAAAGAGCAAAGAGTACAATTAAAAAGCAAAAGTGTCTGGGAAGGGAAAAATTAAATAAGACCCCTTTATGTTGACAGGATCTGCTCACAATGGTGGATTCCTTCCAAATTACAAATAGTACTTCTCCTTTAATAAAATAGCAGGCAAATGTATTCACTAAATTAGGTAAATGACTTCAAACTGGCTTTTACATTTGTTCAGACTAAAGACAGGGGCACCTAATGCTATAAATCAAAACATCGTTACTTGAATTGTCTATGACACAGTGAAACAATTTTAGTCCCTTTTAGTTGATGTGTTCAATTCTAACTCAATAATGATAATGGATAGTAAAACATAGAACTCAGCCTAGACAGATAATCAGAGTATAAAAATGGAATTTTTAAGTAACAAAGATGCTATTAAAAAAATGAGCCAAACAAAAGGGAGGGAATTTAAAGTAAAATGGTGGCTTTATTCTCCTTGAGTGTGTGTATATGAACTAGGATGCCCTGCATCAAAACTAAAGGGGATATCTTGAGGTCAAATACTAGCTTTTGGAAAAGGTGAGTGATCATCTCCTTAGTTTGCCGAGTATTTGAAATACATCCTTTGATAGCTACTGGTACTTCTTCCATCACTCTTTCCTAAATATATGTCCATCTAAACACAGTCTGTTACCATGTACACATCAAATCAAGAGTGACGAAAAGGTACAAAAAATTTTACAGCTTGTTTTGAAGGCAAGCTAGCATATGGCCCCCAGCAGATAAAGACACTAAAATGCAATGGTATATCGTTTTACAGTTTCAGTAGATTTCTTATACAGGGGTTAAAATCATGGCACTTTCTTTTCACATGCATTATATAAAGTTAACGCTAAACTGATTTTGTCAAATATGGCTTGAGTAAATGAGGCTATTAATCTCATTTCATAGGGAAATGAATTCAGTTATTAAATTAGCATTGTCAACGTATTAAAAGACTTATAATTTGATATACTTTTTAATTTTATTCTTTCAGATAAGGTCTCAGCATGCATCCTTGGCTACCTTGGAATGCACTATGTAGACAAGACGGGCATTGGATTAATTAGCTCTACCTGCCTTTGCTGCCTGAATATTAGGATTAAAGGTCTTGCCACAGCACACAATGAGTATTTACTTAAGAAATAAAATGAATTTTGTTGCTTAATTTTTATAAAGGAGAGTCTTATGTAACCCAACCTGCTTTAACCTCCCTATGTAGCAAAGACTAGCCTTGAACGCTTGAGCTTACTGTTTCGATTCTCAAATGATTGGATGCCAACTGTGCATTCCCATGATGGGCTTGGTAAAATGCTATTTTAAAATGAGAAATATTTTGAAAACTTAATCAAAATAGACTTAACTGATTAAAACCTACATTTCCCCACCCCAAGCCCAAATCTTTGGTTGTGTTCCATGTTTCCAGTAATTCACTTTTTAGGTCTAGGTAATTTTGAAACCCAGCTCACAAGAGATTCATGTCTTAAAATAATAAAATTAAATATCTACACTTTGGAGCTTAATGATTAATTTTTCTTGGAGAGAGAAAAATAATCGTAGCTCATAGCTTATTTCACAAAAATATCTTAATAACTGTGTGTAACCCTGGAAAGATTTTTAAATAAAAATGCTGACACAACTTTAATTATGCAAGCACCAGTGGGTGATGCCCTGACTTTACATTACAGAGAATGCTGGAGCAGTTTAGTTCTATTAGGTCTGCTTCTAATGCAGTAATAAAATCATAAAGATTTTCCATTTATCATTTCTGACAACCAATCAAGGAGTCTTCCATTTCTTAATGAAATGTGACCTCTACAGTAGTGCAAAGTAAATATTTTATTTTACTCTAAACTTTTGCATTGTATATCATTTGTAAGGAAACCTTCATGTTTTCACAGTAACAGTTCATTTTCTAAAACAGCATTTCTAGAATTCGTTCCAGGTTGCACTTTCGTCATCTATGCTATAATGAACTAATGGTTCTATACTCAGCTTACTAAAAATTGTATGGAAGGAAAAAACCCTTAATTAATTAAATCCATCTTTCTGTACATTTTGGCTACTTACAATGTTCTAAGTTTAGGCATATGGTTGAAACTTGCCACTGAAAGTCTAGTAATATTGTTATTGTTGAGAGTGCTGTAGAATAAAAAAAAGTTAAAAATTTTAGTTAGATGTGGAAAACAACTGATGATTTTATATTAACATCAAAATTTTTTCATAAATCCACTTAAGTAAGCAACTAACTTCTTCATAGAGAATTCATTATTTTAGAGGAAAGATGAAAATTAATTTTCATATTTCAATATATTACTATGCATTCCATTTTATTTAACACTTGTTATACATGTACGACTTCAGACAGAACATTTTAGTATATGATACTATTGCATGCAAGCCTGCTTCCCATAGGAGAGTCAGTTAGATAATTGAACTTTACATTTCTTTGTTTCATTAGTGTCCATGGATGTTCACATTCTTGGACTCTTCAGGTGAAATCTCATACCAAGAACACATAGTCATTACTATGGAGGACTACTTAATTACTTTTGTTGTGGATAATGTCTACTCCTAAAGTTTGGCCATAAAATTAGGCATCTATATTTGGCATTTTCATCTTTTTGCACATGAAGAGTCTTGCTCTGGAAGCATATCAAAGCTTTGATGGAGTCTGCTTTAGCTGTAGCACGACACACTGTCCTTTGTGTAATCCTGTTGGGTGACAATCTCAGTAATATATTTGTAGAGTCAGGAAGACAGGTCCTCAGAGTTTTTGTGAAAGGTGTAATCCTTGCTTGATTCAGATTGCTCCTTCTCTCCCTTAATATACTTGAAATCAATTTGCTTAGTTATTATTACTTTGAAGATTGGGAAGAGAATCATTTGAAAGAGAATTCTGTTGAGAAGTAAACTTTTTACTTCAAACATCAAATATATTGAAATTGCATTTGACAAGAAGTTCGTGTTGCCTGAACTAGATTTTAGACAACATGAGGAAACGGATTTACTGTTTTGTAGATGCTCACAAATTATGCGTTCTCTTTATATGACTTTAATTCATATGGTTAGCTATTCTATCTGTGAATACAGTTAAAATCTGGGTGGCAAAGAGAGTAATTCAGTATCTTAGTTCCATAGCTGATGTAACCAATTTTTCTCTGAAGTCAATTCCTGATCCCTAAAAAATACCATATGTAGCCATCAAACACAACCATTGATGGCCTGCCTAAAGAAGGTTTGCAAATGTTCTATTTCTAGTTTTACACAGTTGATTAACAAAATGAATTAGATAAATTATTAGTATTTTAAAGAATAGGTAGGAGATGGTTCTAAAAATTTTCATGTCAAGATTTCTGGCAGAGTTATATTGTTTGGCCATCTTCCATCGTACCAGCGGAACAAAAACTGAACATTAGGTATGACAAAAGCGAATATCATTTCTGGTTTACTAAAGAGCACACTGTCCTCCACGGTCAGTCCATTTTTGGTTTTTGTTTGCTTGCTTGCTTGCTTGTATTTCTTTCAAGAATTGAAGGTTTTATTGAAGACATTTTAATACAGCCTTCACTAGGGTGATTAGAGGAAGCAATAGGTGCTCAGGTGGGAAAAAAATTCATCGTCAAGTGTGCATACAGCTTCCACATGGGAGATTCCTGTCTCTTCTTATCTGATTTTCTTGCCCACTTCATCTATTGGCCTGTTCATTTATGCTCCTTTTCTGACCTCCGTAGACTGCTCAGTTTAAATATTCCCAATGCAAACTCTTCCTGAGGCTCAAACATCATCCACCAGGATCAGCAGTGTCTCTTCTGTATGGGTATATCCCTCGGTGTTCTGTCAATTTCCCAGTCAAGGAACCACTTGTGTTTTCACCGATCACTCATACACTCCTGCAACAAACTGTAGAGTCCACCCTTTCATGTAAAAACTATACTCTTTCACAAAATGAACAAATAACCCCCAAATCTCCCTTAATCTTACCAACTCTAAGTAACTTTTGTTTGTCTAGTTTACATATATGGTTGTGTGTGATTTCAAAGGTACTTGGTTTCAACTGACATCTTTCCCAACTCTCAAAATTTAGGCTTAGTCAACTAAAATCTTTGAAGGTACAAGGCATAATGAGATCTGATTTGGGAGGTCTTTTATGAACACTTTCTCCTGTATATAAACTAATTCAATTTTTAAGTTCACTCTTTTTTTTTTTAACCAGAATATGCTTTATAGAAAAGGTCTCAGTGCAAAAATACAAAAGGTTACCCTTGAAATGATGAAGTACACGTCAGAATTTGATGATATTTTAGTTGCTCTTGTTTCTTAGTACCAAACAAGAGAAGAATTTGGCAGAAAGTCTGCTATTTAATAGACATGACTCACTAACTTAATATTTAATTAACTTATGCCTATTCTGTATGCAAAATAATGTAAAGCTAGCAATTTCATTTCATTTTTGTGTCTCATTTCCTAGTAAGAAGAAAATCATAAAAATAAATTTAGGTCTCAATGTTGTTGAGACTACTTCTTTATAGTAAAAGTATATAGTTAATTTTGTATCCTATCACCCAGAATTACACAGGAACCCAGCTTTTACCTCGAGCAAGAGCAATAAACTGGCTCTTCTCTCATCTACCATGATTTTTTTTCTTGGAATCTTAGACTTTATTAACTCTCTGTTTAAAAAAATTCCTTATCCAGATATTTGGTCAGCAACCAGCCTGACAGCACTGTATTCTCCTTTGTCTTCAATAGTGTCAGACAGTCATAGATACTCATGGAATACAAATAACATGTAAATTAAAATCCTAGAATCTGAAATCATGTATGAAGCTTAAGTTTATCTACTTCCATTTTTTGCATGAAGTCAGAAGATAAGATCCTGTAGAATAAGATTCTGTCACCATTTCAGGAACACTGGTTAGTACAGGTCTACTTGGTAATTCCATCTTCTCCAAGTTTTATCCTGTTTTCCTTTGTCAATCCAGTTATGGAAAAGATTGTTTAAAACATATTAAACAGGTTATGTTTCAAAATGTATATACATTACGTTCATGACATTACAAAATTTAACCGGAAAACATTTAAATATTTTTAAAACACACAAACTTTTTTATGAATAATTTCAATTAATTTTATCTGTAAGCAGGCTCTAATCATTGTGATACTCTTGATTCTGTATCATATAAAATTAGGAGCCTCATTCTAGTGTTTTAGAGTTTTCATTTAATTTCATGAATTATCATTCTTTATCATGTTGCGTAGTAATGGTTCTCACAGAGTTCACACTTTAGACATTTTGTTAAGACAAAAATCACAATATTCCAATGTTTAAATTTTTATTATATTTGTATAGTAATGGCTCCCACAAAGGTCAATCTTCAGAAATTTTACTAAGATGAAAATAACAATATCCAAGATGACTGTATTTCCAAAATCTTTCTGATTCGAGTAAATCCATAGTTGTTGTATATGTATGTAAATGCTGCAGTCTGTGGGACTGACACTTGCTCTCCCTTTGGTGAATTCTCTCAGCTGCCCCTCTCTACCTCCCCCCACCACACTCCCAACATAGACAGCACAGGTATTGGTATATAGGTTAAAAAGTGGCTTTAAACTAAAGTGCATGTAAGCACTTTGACTGTCCTTCCAACAGAAAAATGATGTTTTATAACAGCAATAAAATGACCTCCAAGTATAGAACAATTTACCAGAATAACATTTGTGGACTTTTATCAACTCTTTAAAATATTAACTCAGAACAAGGGGCAGGTATAAACTCTTCTTTAACTTTCAATAAAATTAAGAATTACACAGAAATATTATTAAAATAAGTTATCTAATCTAAAAGAGTATTCATCTTCAGAATATATTTTATTTCCATGGCTCAAAAACTTAACCATACCACTTTTGTGGAGAATAGATTTGATAACTCCTGTACAACTTTTAACGTTTTGATGAGAAATTCAAAAACACTTCCCATTCAGCACATCAGATATCTGACTGTTTTAAGAATGGAACTAAAGCCCGGAAACATCTGTTTACTGAAGGAGAATATTAGTGATGTCTCTGAAATGAATCTCATTCATGGCTGAATCAAATTGGGAACTCAAATTCAAAATAAACATACAAAATGAAGCTGACTTATGCTGTCATGAAAAAAATGCATGATTAAATAAGAACAACTTTCCATTACACACTACCCTCAAAATATGTCAGTAAATAGTGGCTTTTTTGGATTTTTATCTTAATATTCAGAAATTTGAGAATTTCTGAAAGATCTATGAGAATATTTTATAAAAAGCATATCTTTTAAGTACGTTGCTTAAATACAGAATACCTATTCCATAGAGGCATTTGCATGGCTTGGCCCATATACATCTTGACTCTTCTGTGTATTCACAAGCTTTTTAAGGATTATTTTGTCATTGTTAGGAGAACATTTTGACACTATTATACAGTAGGTAAGTCATCACATCAAAACTCTCAAACAATGCTACCAGGCAAAGAGTCAGAGAAATAAGCAATACTCACAGAACTTCTAGATCTCTCAGAGCTCTGAATGCCCCATCTTCAATGCAGCTGATCTGGTTGTAATCCAGTTGCCTGTTAAATGGATTAAAAGACTCTATGTAACAGAAAGGAACAGAAGAAGAGAGTAGGAGAACTGACGACTTCAGAAGGGGCTCTGACGCTCAGCTCACACTTCCTGAAATGCTTCCTCACACACAAACCATCTCCTCAGGAATGTCACAAGCTATCCTGCCCTCTCTATGCAGCTACCGAAATCTCTTTTTGTTCTGAACTGTCTGTGCAAATAGCAGCCCTTGGAAAGCTCCAGTAAATAATAACTGCACCTTATATTAAATGCCATAGGAATGCAATTTCATTACATCAAGAAAAGCTATCCATTAAGAGCTTTCAGCGTCATCTCGCTGAAACAATTTCATTAAGGTAAAGGGCTGTAAATCACTTAATGTCACATGCACCCCCTCAGTGACCTACCAGAATCCATTTATCAGAGAAGCCCAGCTGCATGTTAATTTCACTATCCTTGGCAAGAAGGAGTAAGACTACTTTCGGCTTTCCATCTTTTAAAATCAGTTTCCTTTCCAGACTCCAAACTGAAAACAAGAAAAGATGCCATGCATCTCCCCAGCCTTCCCAACCAAGAACACACATAGAAAGCTGGTCATCATCATATACAGACTTCACTACTCTTCAAATTATATTTATCACTACATACACATTCTCTTCAATGCCAGTCTAGAATTTTTTGAGTTAAGAGACTTCCAGAATGTGATTCCCAAAGAAAGCTATTTGCTCAATATTAGGAGATGAATTCATTAAAACTTAAATGAAACTTTGGGTAGTTTTTTTCAAGATGCTAGTTTTAGTCCTTCTAAATAAAGATCACCAACTGTAAGTATTTTATCACAATAGCATATAGATTATGAAAATAGTTTTACCTGTTATTTCAGCCCACCCAATAGTATTTTATTTAAACAAATGACTCTTCTTCGGTGTTTCTAGTATTGAACAAAAATATTCAGTGGTAGAAGGAATAAAACTGATGTCTAAACGTTGCTTATTTTTTTCTTTTTCTGATGCTTGTGTTTAAAATTAGAAAAAATCTTACTGTTCATGTTAAGAAATTTAATTTCAATCTGGGGGAGAAGGAAGGTAGGGCAGTGGAGGGAGGGGAAACTGTTGTAAGGATGGATGTCTCGTGTGAGTTTCAATAATACAAAGAAAAGTAATTGACTTCTTGAAAAAAAAAAGAACTGAGTACCATCTACATTCCATTCCTGTTTCCAAGAAGTGGTTCTGACACTGGCATCTTCATGCTTAGAGACATTATTGTTCCAGTAGAGAAAATGTATTTTAATGCTTCACTTGATATAGAAATGAAATGTTAGCCCTCCATGATTGCTCTGGGAATGTGGATGTACAAGAGTGAGATTACAATCATCAAATAAATGTATCTAGTCCTTGTTAAGAGTCCAGAATTCACCATGAGAACTATCTCACATTGGAGGAGCACTCTCAATGATTGTTTGAACATTCAATAAAATAGCTAGAGCTCTCAAAATGTTATTGGATAGAGGTACGGTGATTTCATCGGGTGACTTTCAGAGAGGTCTCTTTAGATCACTTACTTATAAAGTATGTATATAGGGGGCATCTCATGAATGATACATATTATTTTAAAACAAGTCTCCAGGGGACACAATAATAGACAATACTAACTGACGTCACATAAACTGTACAATATAGTACAAAGCAGGTCCCTCCCAGGAAAGAAAGAATTCTATTGCATTTACAAACCTAAGGTTTTCCCCCAATACTTCCCAAGACTCCTGCTACTGTAATAGTTGAAAGCTTTCCCCACTTATTAGGAAGTAATGCAGAGAAGTATAATTTTATTTTCCAGGAAGACATTTAAAGCCTCATGATATAATATGGCTGCTGTGGTTCCAAGAAAACACTTAGATCCTTGAGCACTTTTGATTTTTAAAGATTAAATTCATTTAACAATTAAGTTAATAGCCTTTTTATTTTAAAGTGCTAAATATACATCTACACTACCATTCTCTAACCTCTTGAACAATTTATCAAAGCCATTTAAATTAGTACAGTGGCATGAAGTGTTACCCTTGACATGCTACAAAAGAGAAATTGTTTCCAGACAAATTGGCAAAATCTTTTAATGCTATCAAATTTGCCTAATGCAGTCTCCAGGTTAATCTGTAAAAGGGTGAGCTGTATGTTTGCCCATATCTTATTATCCTTAGCTGTCAATGTATAAATCAGTGCTGACACGGCTTCTTCTAAATCATGCATACAATGCACAAAGGGAAACCTGGTGCATGCCAGAAAGCACTCGGGCGAATCTTGTTCTACAAGACTAAAGACCCATCCCTTTGCTTAGGCCAGAATTAGTACTATTGCTGGAAACTTAAACAATTTAACTCTTTTTTTGGTATCATATTTTGATACAGGTTGTTCTCAATAGTTTAAGAAAGAAAATAAACAATATGTTAAAAATATTAGGAGTGTTTGAGTTTCATAGGACACAAGTTTTCTTAAAAGTTTTATGAACATTGCCAATCTCAGATCACAAGTTTCCTAACTATGAAAATAATTTATGGAGTTCTGAGTAAGAGAAAATAAGCAAAAGCAAATTGGTGAATAATTTCTTCATCAATTGTGAATTTTGTGATATTTAAGGGAGTAGCTACAAAAACCTTATTCTTTCATGATTGCTCATGGGGCAATCTGTGTGCAGAACTCCACTTGTCTGCAGGGTTCAAAACAAAGTGTCAAAATAGTTCAACACAACAATTTATTTTGGGATTTCTAGAGTCTTTCTGCTCCTTGGTTCTCTAGCTCTGCATGTATGCCTCTCAAGGGCCCTTCAAGCCCTGGGTGCTTGTGCTTCTATAAACAAGAAAGGGTCTGGTCTTGCATTTAACTAAGGCTGATTTTCCTCGGACGTGATCTCCAATTTTAACATGGAGTTTTTAGGAATTAAGAAATTCAGACACTCTTTTTTATTACTTTTCTAAAAATCCAATTAGTTATCCAAAATTTTATTCTTTAAAGTCTTTAAGTGCGAAGACCATTAGGGAGAATATGCAAATTTGTCTGATGCTTTCATTGTACATGAGCTACTTTTATAACATGTAGATACTGTAGTTAGAGTTTCATAGCTCTTCAGTCACCCTGGGTTGTCATGGGTGTCTATGACTTATAATTTCCATTTTGTAACCTTCACTTTGCTTTTGTAGCCTCTACACCAATGTTCTTAACTGTGGTTTTGTTTTTCCAAGCAGCATGATTTCAAGCAAATAGAGAGGTTGAAAGAATCATCATTTTCATCCTCTTCTCATTAGGCATCAAGTCCTGTGATTCTCTTTTCAGTGGTGACAAAGATCCACTGATACCCAGGAAGCCTGACACTTCTCATATTGATGGTGATGAGCTTGGGTCACTGTAGTCTCAGACTACAAAATTTGCCAACAGATTTTTACACCAAGGAATATACTCTGTGACTCACACACAGAATATATGAAGCTTATCTGGTCTTATTTCCCAATAAACAGCTCTGAGTGTAATTAATGGGAACAATATATGATGTTTCTAACTTTAAGTCTATAGTTCATATAATAAAGACAGAATATTAAACATTAAATACAGCTGAAGATACTGTATTATGTTCCGTTTAAATTTTCTTAAAATATTTCCTATTTCCTTTCTTTAACATTTAGCTACCATGCTGTATTTTAATCTTATATATAAACCTTGCTTCACAATGTTAATTTTAGATGGTTAGATCACTATCCTTAGCAAAGATGTATTTTTTATGCATCCAAGAGATAATATTCAATTACTAATCAGCTTTTTTCATATTTAGAATATTTAAAAAATAGTTAACTGTGAAATATTACAGAACATTAAAATCTATAATAATGTGTGATCAGACAATGTCCCAATTTTGTTACATTTTTAATTTCAGTAGCTAAAAATGGTGTGTTGTTTATATTGCTGCTATAAAATACAAGAATCTAAAATTTTAGACAATTTAAAATGAATCGGAATAAAGAGGATTTCACAATGTAAAGAAACATGATTTTTTTAAAGTGAAGCATGGGGAAGAAAAGAGAGGAAAGTCTTTTAATATGGGCATAGTATCTATAGAGTAAAATTTAAGTCTATATAGAATTGTAAATATGCAAACTCCATGACAACTGTTATTTAAATCAATTTTGTAATTCAAATGAAAATATATAAAAATACCACCAGTTGGAGTATATCAATCAATATCCTAAATATTAATTTAAACAACCGCACAGCTTCTCTCAGAATAAGATCACCAGCAGGGACCTGATTTGGGGCACATCAATGATAAAGTGAGGATCTATTCTCAGAATTTCAGAGTTTCCATTATCTTAGATTTAATTCTTTTACAGTCTTTCAGGTAATGCTTTATGTATCTCAGTAACAAGTAACCACAGATTTCACTAGAATGCTCTGTACTACAAATGTACATGCACTTGCCATTAGAGGGGAGGACAAGAAAATATACCCTGCAGATTAAAAGAAATATTTTGCGATAGAAAATAGAGGAAAAACAACCAGAGGGATATTTGGGTCCTGGCATTTCTAGAAAACATAACCAAAGCTGTTCGAAACTAAGACTGATTACAATACTTACATTTACTGACCTCACCACATGTTACATACTGACTATATACAATTTCATTACCCTTTACAGTAAATTGAGAAGGTAAATATTGCTAACACCTCAATTGCACAGTTGAAGTAATAAGACTCAAAAGTCTGAGAACTTATATACAGTATCAAATTTTGCATTTACCTTTTATTGTAATTGAGATTTATATATTCTCAAAGTCCTACACAGTATCCAAAATCAGAGGAAGCAAATTGACAGTGTTTTCCTGCTTCAGGTGAAGTTTAAGATAAATACATGGGCACAATTCGAAGCATTGTAAAATTCAGAAAAGGCTGTGATTCCTCCAGGCATAGGGATTTAAATTAGTGTAGAAAAATATATCTCTTTAATATGATGTCTATGATGTGGC